GAAATATTAGTTCATTTCTTTTAAGTTTCTTGAGATTTCTCACATGTTTAGATGAAGGATTGCCTAGAAATTTGAGCGATTTCTTACCTAGAATTTCGGAATCTTCTTCCCCTTCCTTGTATTTTCTCCTAACTTTCTAGCTTTTGTCTTTGTCTCAAACTCTGCCTTCCATTTTTTTCTAGTCAGTAAGACTGCTACTTTCTATTTAAGTTTTAGAATGATGCCAACAGGAATCTGCCCTCAGACTAAAGGACTTTTTTAAAACAGTCACTCTATATGCCACTTCCTTTGTTAAAGTATTGAAATACTTTCCACCACCTGCCTACTTTTGGTCACTCTCCAGTGTCTTTAGGTATTACTTTAAAAATATTTGACCCAGAGTTTATAGCTATTGTCTGAGGGAGGGCTGGTCCATTAGGCATCATTTAACTGTCATGGGAAGCAGAATCAGGCATTGCATATTTTATGTGTTTTAGTTGTCAAGTGGGTTATGTGTTGGCCTATCAATCACAAGGTCGACAGTTCAAACCCACCAGCAGCGATTCAGTGGAAGAAAAGATCAGGCTGTCTCCTCCTATAAAGATGTACAGTTTCAACAATCCTATATAGGGTCATTATGAGTCAGAATCCATTCCATGGCAGCGAGTGTTTGATGTTGTTGTTTTAGTGTTGTTATTACAGGAATAAGGAGCTCTGGTAGCATAGTGGTTACAAGTAAGCCTGTTAACCTCAAGGTTAGTAGTTCAAAACTACCAGCCGTTCTGCAGGAGAAAGATGAGGCTTTTTGCTCCCATAAATATTTACAGCCTTGGAAACCCTATACAGGGTCACTATGAGTCGGGACCGACTCCATGGCACACCACCACCACCACCACCATTACAGAAATGCCACAAGTGGATGATGTTAGCAAACAAATGCATTCTCTCACAGTTTAGTAGACGATTAGTCCAAATTCAGGGCATCAGCTTGAGGGCTTTCTCTCTGTCACCTCTGGGAGAAGGCCTTTGTCTCCTTTCAGTATTTGTGGCCTGGTGACCCTTGGAGATCTCCAGGTATCTTGGCATCTGTCTTCTTCTGGGCCTAGGAGGTTCCCAGTACAGTGACCCTGGGTCCAAAGGTCACACACTGCTGCTGCCTCTTCTTTCTATTAATTCGTCCCTCTGATTTCTGCTCATTTGTTTAATTTGTTTTATATCTCAGAGGAGATTGACTCAAAATACAATTTCATCCTATAGATTTTATCCTGCCCCATTGACCATTACTATTTCATTAGCATAGAATTTATAACACACAGGAGAATTACATGGATTCACAAACAATAGTCAAATTACACAATACTGAGGATCATGGCCTACGCAAGTTGACACATATTTTGGGGGGACACAATTCAATCTCCATCCTTATCTTAAAGCCATATCATGAACTGGAAGTTGTTCTTATATATATATATATATAGTGTTCTCCTCTATCTCCCTGAGGGTATACCTTACTAAAGATTTCTTTTGCTTATTTATTGCCATTCTTTTATTTGAGGGCATTTCTTCTGAACAGTTTAGATTTTGAACTACTGAACCTTTTTGTGATTATTTTGCAGTATTTTTTCATCTAATGAGGCAACAGGAAAGTTGCACATTACCCAAATTTCAGAGTTAAGTGAAATGGTTTTGAAGATTATAGCCTTAAGGTCTCCTTACAATTGTGGTCTTTTTAATCCCTTGGTAAGGTGTGAAGGAGTTCATTTTCTCAAATTTGTTTTTAAGTAAAATGTTTAAACACACATTTACAGCTAATTTTCAGGGCACTATGAACAAGTAGAGGAAATACAGTCTGAAAAGATGACTTTTAGCTCAGTTTCAACGCTATTTGAAGAATTCATCATGTGCCTTCAGCCGTGTGTTTGTGTGTATGTCTTTAAATAACAATTTATTATTAATGATCATGGTTCTGTGAGTGACTCAGCTCAGCTGGATGGATGTCACTAGTTTCTCTTATATACCTGATGTCTCGGATTGTAGTTATCTGAAAGCGGGACTGAACCCCAGGGTCCAAAATGGTTTACTTCCATGAAACTCATTAAGGACTGTCCTCTAGAGTGCTTACATGTGACTTTGTCACGTGTCTTGAAATTCTCACAATATACTGATAGAGTTTCTAAAGACAGTGCTCTAAGAATGTGTATCTTAGAGCCAGAAGCCAAAGCTTCCAGGTAGATTAAGGGCTACATCCTAGAATTAGCGCAGAATTGATTCATTCCTAGTCTGTCAAAGTAGGCCATGTACCTCAATCTTTTGAATTCAATCAAAAATATTTTCATACACACACACACACACACACACACACACACACACACACTATATCCAACGGATGCTTTCTCATGTTTTCCATTAATTGAACTAGTTTTATTATTTTTTTTTGCAACTCTATTTTTTTCTTATGCTAATAGCACTTTTGTTTGTGAGGGTAACAATATCCCATTTCCTGTACTATCTTTCAGATTTTCTCTATTAGGGTAACCTTCATCTCCCTTACTCTGCTCTCTCAGCTTAAAATGAAGCGTACGTAGATCAGTTCTTTTGCTTAGCTTCTCAGATCATTCTTGGAATTACTGAGGTGACTGACAGGATTCCAGCAGACCTCATAACTGAATGTTAAGGAAGGCAATTCCTATTGGCAAGAGAGCCGCAGCTTCACGGAGAAGCATTCAATTAGATGGAAAAGAGACATGTATTTTGTCTTACAAGCCTCAGTGCAGGTTATGTGGTAATTACTGTTTAGAGCAGGATAACAGTTTATGTAATCTGTAGGACCCTATAATTACTAATGCAGAATCTCTAAACAGCATTTAGCAAAATGAGACCCATACGTACACTTTGTAATGAAAAAGATGTGTTTGACACCACATTAAATACAATTTTAAATTTGCATATTTCCTTCCTGGAAACTCTAGAGTCCTTGGGTCTATTTTGCATGACTAATCTCTGAGCCCTGGTCTGGCTCTGTAGGGTAAACACTGGACTGGTAACCAAAAGGTGGGTAGTTCAAACCAACTAGTTGCTCTTGGAGGCCTTCTTTAGGGTCACTATGAGTTGGAACCAACCTGATGATTCACAGCACCTTAGTCCTCAAGTTGACATTTTTGCTGTTTAATAATTTAAAAAGGTTTTGTGCAGCAGATTTTCCCAATGCAATATGTCATTTGATATCTGCACTGCTGCTTCCAGGAGTGTTGATGGTTGATCCAACCAAAATGAATTATTTGACAACTTCAATCTTTTCTCCATTGCTATGGATGTTGTTTATTGTTCCAGTGGTGAGGATTTTTGTTTTCTTTACATTGAGATGCAATCCATACCAAAGGCTGTGGTCTTTGACCTTCATCAACAAGTATTTTATGTACTTTTGGCTTTCAGCAAGCAAGGTTATATCACCAGATTTTTATGAGTCTTCCTCCAGTCCTGATGCTACATTTTTCTTCATATAATCCAGCTTCTCAGATTATTTGTTCAGCATACAGACTGAATAAGGATGATGACAGAATACACCTTTCCTAATTTTAAAAACATTTGGTGTTCCCTTGTTCTGTTTGAACAATTGCCTCTTGGTCTATGTACAGGTTCCTTATGGGCACAATAAAATGTTCCGGAATACTTATACTTCGCAATGTTGTCCACAGCTTGTCATGATCCACACAATCGAAAGCCTTTGTGTAGTCAATAAGGCACAGGTAAACATCTTTCTGATATTCTCTGCTTTCGGCCAAGTTCCATCTGATATCAACAATGATATCCCTTGTCTTCTGAAACTGGCTTGAATTTCTGGAAGTTCTCTGTCAATGTATGGTTGCAGCCATTTCTGTATTACCTTTAGTAAAACTTTACTTGCATGGGATATCAGTGATATTATTTGGTGATTTCCACATTCTGTTGGGTCACCACTCTTTGGGATAGTCACAAACACAGATCTCTTCCAGTCAGTTGGCCAGGTACGTGTCTTCCAATTTTCTTGTCATAGATAAGTGAGTGCCTTCAGTGCCGCCTCACTTTCTTGAAAGATTTCAATTTATATTCCATCAATTCCTGGTGCCTTGTTCTTTGCCAATGACCTCAATGCACCTTGGACTTCTTCCTTCAGGATCATTGGCTCTTGATCACATGCTACCTTTTGAAATTGTTGAACATTGACCACTTTTTGATATAGTGACTCTGTATTTCTTCTATTTTCTTTTGATGTTTTTTCATCATTCAGTATTTTGCCCATTGAATCCTTCAATATCACAAGTTAAGGTTTGAATTTTTTCTTCAGTTCTTTTCAGCTTGAGAAATGCTGAGTAAGTTCTTCCCTTTTGGTTTTCTAACTCCAGGTCTTTGCACATTTGATTATAATGTTATAAGATCATGGAAATGCTGAATGGGGCATATGAAACAGAACCAGAAACAGAAAAAGCTTCCTTCTCTGTTGTCCAGGATGATACAGCATCATGCTAAGAGATGATTTGGAAAGGTACATCCAGGAAACTTGCTTATAGAATTATAGCAAGGCCATACAATCACTGATTTTAGGATACAAGTATTGGCAAATCACTGAAAAATTATCTGCACTGTGTCTTTCTTACAGATGGGAAAACTGAGACCCAGAAAAGTTATACTTGTGTAACATCAGTAGCTATTTGGAGACAGGCCTAAGGCAGCATTCAGCCAGTCTATCTAGTTATATATGAAATCCATCCCACCATTCTGGTTGGATCATATAGAGGCAGTGTGAGACAAGTCACATACTAAATTAACCTCAGAGATGTTGAATGTTTTTGAAATATGTATCATAAAATTTATGTACATTTGCAATGGTAGCAGGTTTTTAAAGTCCCAGATGATGCAAAGATTTGTGGTGTTTCCTGGAGATATTTTAAGCTCTGAACTTATTAGGAAACTTGAGTGAAAATCCTGTACCTTCTCTTTTTGAAAGACAATGAATGAAATTGAGTGCTTTAATGAATTCTTACCTGAAGTTCCTGAAATCATGTCAAGAGAATGGCCAGCATCTTCTTCAAAACTCTGAACCTGAAGCATCAAAATGTATTAAACTCATTAGAAAATTTATTCACAATAAATTCACTTCGTTTATTTAATTCACCTACATTGAGGCCCTCCTGGCTACTGTTAAAAAGAATAAACATAATTTGCTGACCTCAAATAGCTTACAGTTTACTGCAAAGAGGTTGTGTCTTCAAAGTATCCACAAGGACAACATTGAAACCAAAAGAGTTCAGGCCAGGAAGAGATTACTTCTGTTGGTAGAAGGATCAGAGGCCCTTCCTGGTAATTTCATTTGATCTAAGTTCTGGTGAGGCACTGTCATCAGCCACTCATTGGAAACCCTATACAGGGTCACTATGTGTTGGGACTGACTTGATGGCAGTTGACAACAACACAATAACAAGTTTAAATAAGGAATCCTGTTGTGGTGCTGTAGGGTAAGTGTTGGACCACAAGGTCTGAACTGCCAGGAGTTGGAACCGACTTGATGACCCTAACAAGCTTAAATTAATTTTTCTACAGGATCATTTTTTTTTTTTTCCTTCTAAGGGACTCGACGGCACTTAACAACAACAACAACAACAAGGGACTTTTAATTCTTTTAGAATGAATAAAGTAATTTCTCAGTTGTAAATGAAGTCCTGGTGTGGTGCTGTAGGATAAGCACATTTGATCGCAAGGTCGGCTTGAACCACAAGGTCGGTGGTTCAAAGTCACCAGCTGACTCTCAGAAACCATATACAGTGTTACTATGGGTCGAACTGACTTGACAACAACATCAACAACAAAGTTTAGTTCTCTGAGGTAATTAGTTACTACTTGGTAAATGCATGGACAGCTATTCAGAAAATTCATGAGGTAGTTTCTGTATGTTGTGAAGTGCCATTAAGTCAGTTCCAATTCATAGTGACCCTGTATAGGGTTTCTGATGAGCAGCTGGTGGGTTTGAACTGCCTACCCTGTGGTTTGCAGTCCAGTTCTGACTCTACAATGCCACACCAGGAGTTGGTATGTAGGACTTAGGTTTATTAAAGCTAATTTATTCCAAAATTCTGGAGCATAATTTGTTTTCTAAATTATTATTGGAAATTAATCGTTTTTATCCTGTTCATAAGAATAAAATTACAGAGAAAACAAAATAATGGTCCTTTTAAAATAGCAATACTTGCTTACTATAGAAGGAGCCTTTGTAGCAGAGTGGGTTGGGTTATATGTTGGGCAGTTAACCATAAGATCAGTTGCTCTGTGGGAGAAAGATGAGGCCTTCTGTTCCTTTAAAGGTCTATAACCTTGGAGGCTCTATACAGAAGTTGCTATGAGTCAAAATGGACTTGATGTCTGCAGCAGCTTACTGTTGGAACTTGATAGATGTGAAGTGTCAAAAGTCAGAAAACAGTAACTGTTAATTATTTTGGACTATTTCTTGGCAAGTTTGCTTTTTAATAATTTTAATAGTATCCTGAGTATATTATGTAGACAAAATTTTCACTCCAAAATGTAGCAGGGGAAATTTTGTCCCATATCATAAAATTTCTCTGAAAACACGTCTTTCACAATCGTACATGTTTTGAAGACACATTAGGGTACTCACCGATTCTACCCTGTGGGATTGTTTCCTAAACTTTGCAAATAGAAATAATGAATATCCTTGTACATAAATCTAATTCTATGTCTTATTGTTTATTTTGGGATTAAGAAAAAATTCAATCGAAGGATATGAATATATTTAACACTCTGGTACATATGGCAAAAAATGATCATTAACCTAGAAATAAACTGAACACACTGAGGATACACCTCAGTAATGCAACAGGAAATATTCATTCTCTCTTTTTAATCCTACATCTGGTTTTTTACAAAGAAGTTGCTTTATGCTTGTAATTGATTTGTTGTTGTTGTTAAGTGCCGTGAAATTGGTTAGACTCATAGCGACCTTGTATTGGGCTTCCAAGGAGTGGCTAGTGAGCTTGAACAGCTAATCTTGCAGTTCAAACCAATCTTGCAGTCCAGCGCATTAACCCACAGTGCCACACCAGGACTCTATACATATAATTAATTACACCTATTTCTTAACATTGGTTTTGGTAACACACACTCCAGTGTGTATGATATAATTTTTTTAAAGCATAATAAAGAACTATTTTTCTGTGACCCTTGCTACAGAGTACTTGGTATATTGTAAGTTACATATTTGCATATTCAAATAATAACCAAAAAATCCTAACAATCTAAAATGGAAGGCATGTGTACTATTTCATCTGAGTTGGCTATTCCATCTAAGTCAACCCTATAAACTGATTAAATTTTTAGATCAAAGTATTTATTGTGTATATAAAAAATTTCTTACCTTGAATGAATAATTGTGCAAGTTTCACAAATATTAAGTTTAGTCAATATGTCTGGGAATTAAAAATGCTCAGTTCTACTATGTGTAAGAGTAAACACAAAAATATGTTGATTTTTTGCATTAAAATCTAGGCATGATTTTTGTTGGAATCATAATTTTGAAATGTGAGCCAACTATTGCCAAATTCAGGCTTTAGTAGGACTTCAGGGAAAGTATCAGACATTGATCTGGAGACAAAATTTGGCCAACCATATTTGATATTTTGATAGCTAGATATTTAAGCACATTGGATCATGTTTTAAATGCCATGAAAATCTGCCAATTTCACACATATTTTTCATTTCTTATAATTGGATTTTTAGGTTTGCCATTGAAAAATAAATATTAAATCTGGCATTAGCTCCTTTTTAAAATGCAATGGACCCAAGTTTCGTTTACTTCTCCATTGGTACTGAGTCAAACAAATATTTTTTCTTCAGGCTGTGTGGTGAGGATGTAATATTTTAAGTATGGTTTTCATAAAAGCAAAATCCAAGTAGTTAATTTGTTTCCAAGTAGTTAATTTTTAGGGCTATTGTTCCTTCTCTCTCTTTCTCTCTCTCTCTCTCTCTCTCTCTCTCTCTCTCTCACACACACACACACACACACACAAGTGCATCCAAGAAAGCAGTAAAGGTATGTCATAAACGAAGTTGACTATGAAGTTCAACAGAGTATTTCTTCCTTAAAATTATACAAGTCATCCTGACTAAATTAATATTACCAAAACCTCTTTATGTCCATTGATTCGGTTAACAAATTGTTTACTGAATGTGCCACAAGGTCATGCGAGTTTGTTTTCTTTCATTTGGTGTCTGAGAATAATATTCCTCCCCATATACACATATATTCATCTGTAGTTTTTCTTTAGTAATTGTCATTTATAACAATGTTTACAGCTATTCTGGGCAAAGAATCTGTTGAATTTGGTGCTTATCTATAATCTGTGTACTCATTGGTGATATTGGAGTTTTGGTTTCAGATCACCACAATAAAGTGAGTAAAGTAAAGTGAGTCACGAAATCTTGGCTTTCCAGTGCATATAAAAGGTATGTTTATACTATATTGTAGTTTATTAAGCATTAAGAAAAAGTTTGAAATATTGTGAGAACTATCAAAATGCGACACAGAAACATGAAATGAGCACATGTTGTTGGAAAAATGGTGCCAGTAAAGTTGCTGAATGCAGGTTTGCCACAAACCTTCAATTAATACAAAATGTAATATTGTTGAAGTGCAATAAGGTAAAGTACAGTCCATTGAAGTATGCTTGCAGATAGCTGTATTTTATCTCCTCTAGCTCAAACTGGATCGACGTAGAAGAAACTTAAGTAAAGGAACTGTAATAGAGTCTAAGGGATCTTGGAAACAAGCTGGATTTGACAAAATGTCTTGTTTGAATCCTGGCTAATATAGCAGTCTGAATAATGAACTGCAGATTTACTTGACATCCTTTATAGTAATTCAACAGTTAGTTTGGTCACTAAATAATCTTTTCAAGATAGAGTTAATAGAATATACCATTTAGTAATACCATCTCTCAACTTATCATCAAAGGAGGGTAATTGGCCAAACCTATAAGTTTTCTTCATTTATAATTTTTATTTGCTTTTACAGTTTTAAGTTTAGTTCAATATTCTAAGATTCTTTATTTCTATATGAGTATTATTTATATATTTGTACATATATAGATATGCTGCTATTAAGTGCCATTGAGTCGTTTCCAACCCATTTGTTGTTGTTAAGTGCCATTGAGTTGGTTCCAACCCATAGCGACCTCTGTATAGGGTTTCCAAGGAGCAGCTGGTGAGCTTGAACCACCGATCTTGCAGTTCAAATTGCTTTGAAGTCTGGCACATTAACCCACAGCACCACACCGGCACTCCATCTACACATATATATGCATTTATTGGTCAAAAAGTATTGCTACTAGCATTCCTGTTCTTTTATGCATGGGTCAATTGCAAACAAAACACGGTTAGGCATGTCTCTGAGATTATGAGATGGCTGCAGACAAGTTCTTTCAGCAATATACTTGTCTTAGTCTCACTAGGGTGCCTTCAAAAAACAGGTCCAATCAATTCAGTGGACATCATCATTTTTATTGGACCTGGGCCAATTAAATTCAAGGAAGAGTGGTCAGCTCAGAAGGCTATGGTAATTGTTTTTTTGGAGTCTAAAGTAAATGGTAATCTTGACAAATTTTCTTGAAGGACACAGGACAATCATGGGCACTCGTTATAAAGACATTATAAGAAAATGAAAAAATTGGCTTTGGAGAGATAAGCCAGGAAAGTTGAAAATTTTCCATCACGACAATGCACCTGCTCATTTTTCACGAGTAGCAAGGACTACCCTACAAGAAGTTCACTGGCAAACCATATCTCATTCTCCCTACAGCCCTCATCTTGCCCCTTCAACTACTTTTTGTTTCCAAACTCAAAGTTTTTTTTTTTTTTTAAAGGAACATGATTTGAATCTCTTGAGGATGCTCAAACTGTTGTTTGGAAGTGGTATCAATCAAACAGCACAGAATTCTTTGGTGAAGTATTCTTTGGTTTCTGTTAAGTCCCTTTCAGTCAGTTTGAACTCATAGTGACCATGTTTACGATTATATATTTTGGGACAATTGTTATATCCCTGTAGAAATCCTGGTGTGGTGTTATAGGATAAGTATCGGACAGCTAACCACAATGTTGGTAGTTCAAACCCACCAACAGCTCTTCAGAAACCCTACACAGGGTAGCTATGGGTTGGAACTGACTCGATGGCACTTAACAACAACACTTAACAACAGATTGGAGAATACCACCAATAGGCATATTCAACTTCTATTATGAGTAAACTTGATTCTCTTAAATTCTTTGATGCTCTTAACCTCTTTGCTGGGTGAAGAACACTTCTCTTGCTCTGCATATACTCCAAACATGTCATTATAGTTCTATAAAAGTGTATCTGTTGAGCTATCCCTGTCTCTACTATGTTATTGATTCCTCTGCTCATCTCAGCAGCTGTATTGTGGCTTCACTGAAGGCAGTTTTTGTGCCCAGAGCCCATCATGTGCCCAGCAGGCAGAGAGCTCAAAGAAGAGATGGAGTCCCACTTTGGTATTTGTATGTAAATACCTACTCTATTTTTAGATAACTTAGATGAAAAGGAATTCTTTTTTTCTTTTCTGTACTTCCTGAGCCTAATTGCCACTATGCAAAGAGAGATGGTGGGAATTGTGTATGCATGTTCTGGACCAAAAAAATTAAAAAGGCAGATGTGGTTATTATCTAAATGAAGTCAAAGATAAGTGTGAGTAAGTGAAGGTGGGGATTTAGACAAAATTAACACCAAATATAAAGCTACAGATTGATTTTTCCTTCCTGAGAGATATGTTGAAATCCTGACCCCTGTACATGTGAATAGAAGAACACTGGTTTGGCAGCAGCAGAACCCAGAGCCCGAGCATAAGGCGATATAGGACTTCCAGGCCCACAGAGCAAGTAAAGCTAAGTGCCTCTGGGCAGAAGGTTTGCTTTCAGACTAGGGTGCCTTCAGGTACTTAATTGGGGAGCTGGGTTTACTGAACCACAGAACTAGAGCTGAGCACCTCTAGACTGAGATTTATAGTGAGTGGAGTACCCTTTGAGCATTTAATAGTAATATTAAAAGAGCTTTGTAACATTGCCCCAGCAGAGCAGAGGCCAGGCCAAGAGACTGCCTATGGGCATGGCTAGGAAGAGGGAAGAGGCTGTCCTGACTGAACAATTGTGTCTTGAGCATTTCTGATACTGAATTATATCCTGTTGGCTCTCCTAATATAACCCATATCCGTGAATATGGTCTGTGAGTTGTAGGTAGCCAATGCAATGAAGTCTCAAACCCAGTAGAGATGTAGAGTGTGTTATGGAAAAGGTAACTGGTGTCAGAACTGTAAAGGAAGATAGAATGTTAAGGGCATGTCTGACTTTCCTGAGGAAATAGTCTTGGGCTGATGGTAATGAGTTTGATCCTCCTTGTTCCTTGGAAGTCAGAGGAGGTCAGATCAGATAAGCCTCCAAATCATTGTATACACACACACACACACCTTTGTGTGCAGGCGTAGATTTCATATGTAGAATAAAACACCTAGGGGCACAAGTATAATGTCTTTTAGACACAACCAATTACCTCAGGGGATTGGTTTTCTGGGTTTCAAGCCTTAGTAAGGTCATAGTCTTGTGGGAAAATTTGGTCAACTGACATAATATAGTTCATAAAGTTTATGTTGTGCACTGAGCGTGTGGGATCTTAAAAGCTTGTAAGTGGCCATCTATGATGCAACTATGAGTGTCATCTCATCTGGAGCAAAAGAGAAAGAAGATAAGCAAAGACACAAAGAAGACACTAATCTCTACAGGACTAACAGCTCACAGGAACCATGACCTCATCCACCCTGAGACCAGAGGAACTAGATGGGGCTTGGCTACCTTTGATCTGATTGGGCCCACAGCTTATTGTTGTTTAAGTGCTGTTGAGTTGGTCCCAACTCATAGCGACTCATTGTTGTTGTTAAGTGCCGTTGAGTTGGTTCTGACCCATAGCGACCCTGTACAGGGTTTCGAGGGTGTACATCTTTATGGGAGTAGAAAGTCTCATCTTTCTCCCGCGGAGCGGCTGGTAGTTTTGAACCGCTGACCTTAAGGTTCGCAGCCCGATTCGTAACCACTACGCTACCAGAGAGACCCTATATAGGGTTTCTGAGGAGTGGCTGGTGGCTTTGAACCACCGACCTTGTGGTCCAAACCAACCTTTTGGTCTACTGCTTATCCTACAGGGCCACACCAGGACTACAGGGCCACAATAGATGGATCTGATAGAATGGGATCAAAATGTGGAACTGAACTTTGATTCTTAAACAATTCAGACTGACTGGGTCAGATGAGATGAAAGGATTTCCCGAGACTATTACTGTGAGATACTCCATGAACCTTGAACCAAAACTACCCACTGATGTCACCTTTTACTTAAAAAACAGATTGGCCAGAGACCAGTGAGCATAGCGCACCTTTAAAAAAATCATCTAAGACCAAAAGTTCAACAATTAAGCTAAAGCAAAGATAAAAGTGTAAGGGGACAGAGAAACTAGATACTAGAAATGAAACATTGAGAACAGAATTTATGAAAATTTGACACACTTAAAGTGACCAACGTTGTTGGACAATTTGTGAAGTAATTGTTAAATGTGAACCAAATATGCTGTGGAAACTTCCACCGAAAACATAATAAAATGCTATTTTGAAAAAATGACCCCTGGATTTGTTTTGTGAGAAGGGGAAAGAAAAGAATTAAGAGGAAACAAAAGCTGCTTTCATACCACTTTCTTTCCAGTAGAAGAAACTAGAATGAATTTTAGTGTCCTAGACTAAACAAGAGATGTAGAATAGTAAGATGCAATGAGGAGGAGTTACGAGACAGAATGGGGACATGAGAGCTGGAAGGCAGTGGGGGCCTTTATACAGCCTACTTTCATTAGGAGATTAAACACACAGGGACAACACTGACCTCTTCCATTTCAAATGAGTCCAGAGGTTCATTTGCAAGATGAAACATGGTTTTGAATGTGCTAGTCTGAGTTGAGTACTCTTTTGGAGTTCTGTCCTTGACTGGCCCATCAGGCATGCTGGAAGGTGGAGTCTTCTGGGCCAGCCTGGATGAGACAGGACCCGGCTCATGCTGAAGAGCTTGGGGAGGATGACAAAGTGGTGAGTCATCACAGGCTTGGAGAGTCCGGTGCTTGGTCAAAGGACGGGTATACCTTCGGCTATGATTGCTTGCCATCCCTAATAATTCTGTTCTGCATGCTCCTGGTTTTGCAGCTTGATTGAAAATTCCATCCTTCGTCTTCAGTGACTCCAATGTTTCTGGGCTACAATCCCTCCTTATACTTTGTTTTGATGCTCTTCTTAAGAGTTCACTCATTTTTCTCTGATGTTCTTTGGTCTCAGTTATGGAGACATTTCCTTCGTTTTTCTCTTCAGCTTTTTTCTGCAGGATGTTAACATCATTCAGCAAAGATGTGAAGGCATTGGTCACATGGTCCAGGATTTCTAGCTGTTGAAAGCGTCCTGAAAAATACAAGAATCACACAACTCAGAGACTGATGCTTTTCATTTAAACCCTATACAGGGTCGCTATGGGTTGGAACCAACTCAACGGCACTTAAAAACAACTACAAAAATGTAGTAAAAATTTAAGAGGTTGATTAACACTTGTGATTTTTAAGAAGGGAAATACTTTAAGTTCCTGAAGCTTAAATTTTTCTTGGTACATATTTCTGGCATTATGTGGGTGATTTTCCCATAGAATGAGATATTACTATGTTATGGGAAAAGCAAATGTCTTGTATAATTTAAAGACAGATAACTATATAGATTCACATATGTTCACAATTTTTGGTGTGTTACATTACAAAGCTATAGGCATGGGGAAATCTATACATTTATGTATATGAAACTAAATGTAAGAGCGTAGACCCAGTTCTTTCATAGAGAGTAAGTTTAGGCATTCTTCTACAGCTTTATGCTGTAGATTACCTCATCATCATCTCCGTCATCTCCACCTATACTGTCACCTGATAGGGTGGAAAGATCATAACATATGGCATTAAAAAGCCTGGACCCCAATCCAATTTATTAACCAAGCACTGGCAATGTGACTAAAGAGTAAATGAGTCAATAGATAGGTATATTGATTAGTCTTGTGCCAGTTGTGTACTTGCTGTTGACTTCTGACTCAATGTGACCCATCTATAGGGTTTCCGAGGTTGTAAATCTTTGCAGGAGCAGAAAACCTCATCTTTCTTCTGAGAAGCAGCTGGCTTAAACCACTGACCTTGTGGTTCACAGTCCAGTGCTTACCCCACAGAGTCAACACACTTCCAGTTGCATGGTAAATGGTCACTTACACATCTGGAAAATGATTAGTAATAATATATATCCATGTATCTTTCACATTTGTTGTGAATAGCAAGCCAAATCAGTTCCTCAATTTTTAAGCCTTTGTGGATTATCTGGATTCCATCATTTAAGTAATCTTGACTTAATTAAGCATTGACTTAATGAGCTTGAGGGAGAGGCCTAAGGCAGCAAGGGGATATATTGCCAGTTTGGGGAAAAAAAAAAAAAAAAAGAAAGAAAATATGGTAAAAACATTTTTGTCATCTCAAGGTAGTTAAAGTAATATAAAAATAAAACTGAGGTAATAAAAATAGAATACTTTGCTTTTATTACAATAGTCCTCTCTCAACCCCAGTGATAGCATTCAAGTTTGCATCTCTCAGCAATGGCCAAGGACCACATTGATGGGTAAGGATGCTCTCTGCTGTTCTGTTGTTTGCACTTTCACGGAAACACTACTGATGCTTCCTGTTCTTTCACCTGAAGGGGAAAATAGCAACAAACCATTCTTTATCTCCCAAATATAATAGGTTTCTCACAGAGGGTGAGACTTTTAAGAATGTTTGGCTATTGGTTGATTTCAGAAGAAGCATTCTGATTGCATCTTCTCCCTAAATTCTGACAAGGTTGAAAATAAATCTCTCTGGTGAGAGCCAGCGGGTACAATTGAATCACAATTCAGGTTTTATGATTGTCTTATATCCATTCCATTGCATATTTTCATACTTAGGCTAAAGCAAAACCTATCAATTTAATTGGCTCAGTGAATTGAAAGAACAAAATAATCTGAAGTACTGGATGAGTGTTTTTCTTTCTTTCTTTCTTTTTTTGCCTTTGGGTAGATTGAACAATGGACTGATTGATTTTCATTTCCCAAGTTTCAACATTTTGCATTGACTTTGAAGAAAACATAATTTTCCACTCTGTCTTTTGGACAGTCAACTAGCTTTATTATGGTTTGCTTTACATTTGACCTCCTCAGCTTTCTTGAATCAAAAAGTGCATAGGTAAGTACTGAGTGAGAAGAATTACTGTGTCAGTTTGCCATGCTATGGTGGTATGTGTGTTGCTGTGATGTTAGAAGTTGTCACCAGTATTTCAAAGACCAGTGGGGTCACCCATGGTGGACAGATTTCAACTGAGTTTTCAGACGAAGACAGATTAGGTAGAAGAACCTGACAATGAAGTTCTGAAACAAATGGCTCCTGAAAAGTAGCAATGAAACATTGACTGATAATAATGCCAGAACTTAAGCCCCTCCGGTGAGAAGACACTCAGAATACAACCAGGAAAGAGCTGCATCGTCAAAGTAGAGTTCTCTTTAATAATGTGGAGGGAGTAGAGCTTTTAAAGTCTTCATCAGCTCATAGGACGTGACTCAAAATGAGAAGAAACAGTTGCAAATATCCATTAATAAGTCTGAACGTGGAATGTTAGAAGTATGGATCTAGGAAAATGGAAGTTGTCACAAATGAAAAGGAACACATAAAGATCTATATCCTAGGAATTAGTGAGCTGAAATTTGCCATTTTGAATCAGACAATCATGTGGTCTACTATGCCAGGAATGACACATTGAAAGAGGGATGGCATTGCATTCATTGTTAAAAGGAACGTTTCAAGAACTTTCCTTAAGTACAGTGTTACCAATGAGAGGGTCATATTCATAGCATACAAGGAAGACTAGTTAATAATACATCTATTATTCAAATTTATGCACCAATCACTAAAGCCAGTGATGGTAAAATAGAAGAATTGTACCAGCTTCTTCAGTCTGAAATTGATAAAAGATACAATCAAGATACATTGATAATTACTAGTGATTGACATGTGAAAATTGGAAACAAAAGTGAAAGGATCAGTATTTGATGGTGATAGAAATTACTTTGGGAATCGCATGATAGAATTTTGCAAGACTTTTCAGGGCACAAACCTTTTCAACAACATAAACTTCATGTGGACCTTGCCAGTGGGAGTGCACACCAATCAAATTAACCACATCCCTGGAGAGTGATGATGGAGAAGCTCAATAGCATCAGTCAGAAAAGGCCAGGGACTGACTTTGGAATTATTTAAAGTTAAAGTTGAAGCTGAAGAAAATGAAAACAAGTCCAGGAGAGCAAAAATATGACATTGAGTATATCCTATTTGCATTTAGAGACCATTTCAAGAATAGATTTGCAGTGTTCAATACTAGCAACCCAAGACCAGATGAGTTGTGGAATGACATTAAGGACAGCATACATGAAGAAACCAAATTGTGATTAAAAAGATAGGAAACATGTAACAAAAAGAGGGGCGTAGTTAACCTTACAATCCAGGAACAGATAACCCAAGGACTATCGAGGGAGAGGAGCATGAGTGGAATATGGGACCCTATCCAGAGAAGCAGTGACACCAGAGATGGAGGCAGAGATGAGGACATGGAGAGAGGGAGCAGCTGAGGATTCTAGACTCACGGAAAGAGAAAGGTTGAGTGCCGGTGGCCAGGAGGCAGTCTTGCAGAATGTGCCCTTTGGTTGTTTAAATTATATATTCCTGAGTGTTTTTGTGTACATCCCCCCCCCCAAAAAAAAAAAAACAAAAACAAAAAAACACAGATAGAGTAGAAACAAATGCTGGTGAATCATGATGCACAGAGGAGATTATAATCATTGCAATGAAATGATGACTGTAAAACAGATGTTCCCCCATGTAAACTATCACTCAATTCACAATAAAAATGGAAAAAAAAAGGTAAGAAACAAAGAAAAAACAAAAATGGGTATCAGAATAGATTCTAAAATTTAAGGAAGTTAAAGCAAAAAGAAGAAATGATAACATAAAAAGTGATGAACAGAAGATTCCAAAAGCTTAAGACCTGGAATTAGAATTTCAAAAGGGAAGAACATGCTTTGCATTTCTTAAGCTGAAAAAGAAGAAGAACAACACAAAAAAAATGAAGAAAAAAATTAAAACCCTGAGTTATATAGTATTGAAGGATTCTATGCGCAAAATATTGAAATATGCAGGAATATCAAAAGAAGATGGAAGGAATATACAACCACTGTATCAAAAACAGTTGGTTGATATTCATCTGTTTCAGGAGGCAGCCTATTATTAATATCCTATAGTATTGAAGGAAGCATTCCAAGTTACACTGAAGCCATTGGAAAAATACTAGATCTAGGAATTAAAAGAATACCAATTACAACGTTTCAACAAACTGATAGAGTGCCAGAGGTGATAATTCATCTATGGCAAGAAATTTGGAAGACAGCTACCAAGCCAACTGATTGGAAGAGATTCATGCGTATTCCAAAGAAAAGTGACCCAACAGAATGCAGACATTATTGAATAGTATCATTAACACAACACACAAATGAAATTTTACTAAAGATAATTCAAAAATGGTTGCAGCAGTACATTGACAGGGAGCTTCCAGAAATTCAAGCAGGATACCAAAGAGGATGTAGACAAAGGATAGTATTGCTGATGTCAGTAGATATTGCCTTCCAGATTTGGCTATACAAAGGCTGTGGATAATATTGTGAAGAATGGTCATTCAAGAACCCTTCACTGTGCTCATTCTAAATCTGTATGTGGATCAAGAGGCAGTCATTTGACCCTTCCAAGACTAAGACTCAATGTGAATACATGCTCTGATTGGTGACCACATTTGTCACTGATAAGGGGAAGTGAGGAAAAAACAGCAATGAAGCTG